TTTCACACATACTCTTTTAAACACACATTCATTTTGTCTCAGTCTTACGCACGCACACCATCCCCTCTCTTCTCCCTCTCTCACATACAATCAAGTGGTGCTAAGGGAATGGGCAGACTCATTCCCTGTCTGGCCCCGGGACCCAGATTGATTGATAGGGGAGGCGGCAGGGCAGTAGAAGTGAGTGAGGAATAGCAAGCGGTGGCGCACGCTCCCCCTCCGTGCCTTGATGATATTGTTAAATTGGCTATTCTCTGGCTAATGCTGTCGTTATGTCCACAGAATATTACCATCTGTCTCGAAAATCCAACAGTGGGGAGCAAGAAGTCCCATTTTTGTCCTTTTTGAACAGAGAATATAGACGCCTTCTAAAATAGCTTGTCATACAGGGACCTACATTTTTTCTAGGATGGTTGAGTCTTTCCTGAGCAGGATCCAGACATCAAAGATATTGTTGTAATTACATGATGAAACATGTCTATGACCTGTGGTGGCTGCTAATATCGTTTTACAAAGAGAGAGAGAAGGAAAAGCACAGATCTGTTGTAAACTGGTACCTCACCTCCAACTCTGATTTGCTTGAGGTGCAGAACAACGTCCGTCTTCATACTGACAAATATTTGCTAGTATATTTTATTTTCATCGGGATCATCAATGTGAGGAACATTTGTCAACGTGTACACTGTGTTAGACATGTCTGCGCTGCCCTGCCAACAGCTGGAGCATTCGAGTCTGTAAGAGTGGCTCCATTGAAGCTTTCAGTGAAGTACTTTGCTTAAGGTCACCTCCACCTCAGTGGTAGCTGAAAGAACAGAAAACATTATTCATTCATGTACCACTATTCAGATTACCCTAATCAGAACACATGCAGCTACATTCTCATCACACGCCTCCGTTTCTCCATCTTTGAGTACAAAAGCTTTTCTTCTCTCTCTCCTTGTCATGTTTGAATCTTTGATTCTGGAGGTCATCCGATGGTTCTAGCTTCTTAATTTTACTATTAAAAATACATGAAACATTTTTTGTTTTGTTGTTTTTTGCCAGTTTAAATTTGTCATTACTTTAGATGATTTCATGATTAATTGCTTGAAATGACACCACACATGAGAGCTCTCCACATCTTCAGAGGCTTTACTACTTCACTCTACCATGGAGTATACACACACATTCAAACACCAATGTCTTGTGGCCACACAATTTGTTCCGCAATTTTTTTTTTTTTTTTTTCAACTGTAGTTCTTGGTTTATGAACAAACAAGGTAGTGATCCTGTGGCATTTACTAGGCTCTGTGCTCTGTATGAAATCTGTGGTGTATGAGCTGACTGGCCTGCCACTGACCTGTTGTCTCACTCAGCCATCTGAATCTCAGTTTAGATATCAGGCAGCATGTCAGGTGGTTGTCTCCATGTGTCTTCTATCTATTTCGTTCTGACCTGGGTACAGCGCGTTGTAGTTTGTTTGTAAGACCGCCTGTCTGCTCGAGTCTCTAGTGGAAGCTGAGTGTCATCCAGATGGGTAGGATACAAGGCAGTCTCCTCACAGCCTTCAGAACATATTCAGTCCCCTTCTGTTATTTCTGTACATGTTTAAGCTTTAAAGACAACTCCCTACCTACAGTATTAAAGTCTATATGCAAAGTCTTCTTGACACTTGCTTTTAAAGTAGTAATCCCATGCAAAAAAATTGGTATCACTTTTAATATGTGTGTTTGTGTGTGTGTGTGTGTGTGTGTATATGTATGTATATATATATATATATAATATATTATATATCTATATATATAACTATATATAATATATATATATAATATATATATATATAATGTGTGTGTGTGTGTGTATATGGAAATTGGAAATTCAAGTAACGTGTGAGAGTTTACCATATTGATGTATTTGGCTGTTTCCCTAACAAATTAGAGAACGATTTGTGAGGAGCTACATGTTGCTGTTCTTGAAGAATGATCTTTTCCTTTCTGCTAATAATTCCCATCTCTGTGTGCATGCTCCTCTGGGTCTTGGTCACTTGTTTGCTCTCGGCTGCTCAGTTGACCTACCAGCTCTGGGGAAACACTGCGGCATCCCATGTTCTTAGATTTACTTTTGAGCCAACTCTGAGCTTTTGATATTCTCAGCACTTCAGAAATGATTGCATAACCTTCCCCAGATCCATGCCTTTTCACAGTTAAGTCTTTGAATGCTACACAAAGATTCAGAGTGAAACCAGTTATAAAGAAGTCTCAAGGACATTGAGAAGAATTTGGAGATGGCTTAAAAAATATCACGAATCTAAACTTCAACATCAGATGAAGTCGTTGACTCTGAGTCTTCTTGAATGCCCCGTAGATCAGGAGGTTAATAGAAAAGCAAGGCAAGTGATTGCGAGTTGTGCAAACTGTCACTTACTAGGGCATTGCTGTGTTAACTGATACTACAGCCTCAGTATCTGTTCTCATAATAAAAAACAAAATGCCTCTAGATAATAATAAAATGGATTAGAATTTATATAGGAATTATGATAACATTGCCACACTTTGAAATGGGAGTTAACAGAATTAAAGTCATTGTATCTACTTTGGTCGACACAGAGTGAAGCGAAGATGCAGAGATAAGTTTCTATGCAGGCAAACACCCCACACAGATCTAATCTATTTTGTTAGTAATAATATGCGATTGGGCTAAAAAGGAAAGTCATAATTTTATAAAAGACACTGATGTGACACTGCACATAAAGACGTTGTCTACGCATTAAGATTGCAGAGAACTGACAGGAGAGTTGAGGATTGTATAAGACAGGAGGGATAGCTTCTTGGTTTTCCTGCCTCTGTTGTCAATCCCACAGGCTTCAGCTTTCACTTTAGAGACAGATCACTTTGTGCACAATTTGCCCACTAATGATAGGGTGTCGGGGCAGGTATACGCATCAGTGGCACCTGAGCGGTAAGTACCCATACTGATTGGCATAGAAGTGCAGAGGCAGATATAGTAGTTAGGTGGCAGGCTGCCTTCCCTCTCCATTCAGCTCTGTGTGTCTTGGAGTCTGCTGCTAGCCAGCCCCTGGGCAGAGCCACTCTCCAACAGACTATCCCTCAGTCTGTCACAAACACTCTCTTCTTTCCTCTTTTTTGCTTCCTCTCTTACTTGTCTCTCCCACCCCGTGTTTTAATTCTCACCTACTTCTCATTCGTCACTATAGACTTACAAAAAAGACGCTTGAATCTTCTCCCACCTGCTACCCCGACCAGCTAATTTTTCTCTGTGAAATATATTATACACATATCTCTCCTGTGGGTGTGCTACTGCACTTAAGAATGACTGCTAAGATACACACACTCACACACACAGCGCCAGACACCACCTGACACATCCTCCTCCTGTGGTTTGTCACAGAATTGCTGCACGATCTGCTATCTCTCTTCCCCCTCATATCCCACCCTATCTCCCTCAGTTCCTCTCTTTCCATCCTCCTCCTCCCCCCCTGTATTCTCCCGTCCATCTACTTCGCTTGCTTTTGTCTCACAGACCACGTCAATCATTAAAGAAAAGGCTAGATTAAAAGTGTAGATTGGTACGCAGTCCAGCCCTGCAGGACGGGCTGTGAATAGGGTCACTCAGCCTGTCGGTGCCCATCGAGTGCTCCAATCCAGATGTTGTTAAAATTCACTGAGATTTTATTGTCAGGAGGAAGAGACGCCTCAGCAAAACCCCTCCAGGAGTTGAATGTTTAATTGTGGGCAGACCATTGCCAATTCTTTATTGATTTTGTGTGTATTTTGTACACCCGAGACGTGGAATGAATGACATAGATGGAAAAGTGTGTGTGTGTGTTGTGTGACAGAGGTTGGTTACAAATTACGTAAGTTTATACAGTTAAATCAGAAAGTATCGTTTGCTTTGCTTCAGACTTTGCCGAACCCCAAATTGCAGCTCTGACTCTTTTTGTGTGTGCGACATGAACTCTGTTAGGTCAGATGCCTAAAGTGACCAGCTGCAATGTTAATGTATTTTGACTTAAGTCACTCCCTGCTTTACATAACATCACCACCAGGGGTCGAATTCAGGCCGTTAGAAAGAAGCCAAAAGAGAAATGTCGTCCTTGTAATAAGGTGAAATTCCTTTTTTTTCATTCTCCTCCCTTTTCTTTCTGTTCCTGTTCCTGTTCTCCTCTCCACCCTTTCTCTCTTTTACTTATTAGTTCCCTTTTATTCAATTTTCTTCTCCTATCTTTAACACCTTCTTCCTCTGTTACCTCTGTCCTCAAAGTTTCCATCTTCACTTTTTTTTCTTTTTTCCTACTCCTGCCCACCCTCCCTCTTTTCAACCTCTTCAGTTTGTTCTTGTTAACAGCCCCAGCAGGAGAAGGATGTGCTCTACAGTCTGGGGTCTAGGGGGCCACAGCTGCCCAATAACACCCTGATTTATCAACCTCCCCCAGCTAGCCTGCATGGAGATGCTGTTTTGCTCGCTTGCTTTGGTTGTTACTTACCGCCGGCCAGACAGGTTGTTTGTATTCCTGGCTGCGTGTCCTTAGAATGTGTCTGGTGTAAAGAAATGGCTTTGCTCGTAATGTATCTAGCCTTCTTTCCAGTAGCTGAAGCCTGTCTGTGTATCTATCCAGCCGTTGTCTCCCGACCAGGATACATTTACTGACATAAAGAATGAGAGGGTGACTCTTGATCCCAGTTGATGTTTGTTTTAGAAATCTCCACCACAACCACTTGATAACAGAAGACGAAGCCTTTGTTTTTCTCTGTTTCAAGGAACTCCTTCATATCCTTGTTGGGTTTTGTTTTTTCATTGTGTTTCTCACATCTTCTCCCTCTCTTGCACAGACCATACACCATGTCCAGTTCCAGATGGAGACCAGATATTCACAGATCCAAAAAAACAAAACAAAAAAAACAAGCTGATTTCAATTGATTTCATTCTAAATTTAATTTTTTTCTCTCTCTCCCTCTCTGTCCCTCACGTCTCTCTCTATTCCCCCCTCTCTCCGCCTCTAGTCCAGTACCAGATGGAGATGATGCGTTCTCTGCGTCACGTCAACATTGACCATCTGCATGTGGGCTGGTACCAGTCCACCTTCTATGGCTCCTTTGTCAGCCGAGCGCTGCTTGACTCCCAGTTCAGCTACCAGCACGCCATTGAAGAGTCAGTTGTGCTCATCTATGGTGAGTAGATCTACAGAGATGACTGTGTAAAGACTAGGTTTTGATTATATATTTCTTGTCATGTAATCTACCATCTACTATATTACAACCAAATCAATTAAAGGGGCAGTTTACCACACAAGGTATCTACTACACAGAAGAGTCTGTGTGGGACCTGTGGCATCAGATTAAAGAACAAGGTTGGGCTAGCACCATTAGGTTAAAAGTAGTCTATTATTCCATTAGTGTTACGCTCTTCTAGACGTCCCGTGGTTTGCAATCAAATTAAATGCATAACAAACTGGAATTACCACTTTGTGGTTGTACGCTTTCGCCAAACAGTCAAGTTGGCACTTACATCCATGTCTGCCCAGATGTAAAATATCATCACTTCGTCATTTTATCTGATCAGACATTAGTGTGAAATTTTGCTACGATTTGCATAGGAATTCTGGAGTTAGGGCTAAAAATGTGTTTTGTGAGGTCACAGTATCATTGATCTTTCACCACCAAATTCTAATCAGCTCATCCTTGAGTCATCGTGAACATTTGTGACAATTTTGAGGAAATTCCCTCTAGGTGTCACTGAGATATAACATTCACAATGCTGAGGCATAATAATTGAAATTAGATTTAAAAGAACGACTAATTTTGTTTGTAACACCAAGCTGTGTTACAAGATAAAAAAAAGCAATACCAAGTTTCTATTCATTATTAAATGATATTTAAAAATGGTTTTATGGTAAGCGCCTTTATCTCATTGGTTATTTAAAATGTAAACATTAAAATGCTCATTAAGTGTGTTTGAATAACCAAGGCTGGTTCAACGGACGGTCACTCCTGGGAATGGTCACATGGGGGTCTCGTTCTTCGCCAGTCTGCTGCCATCACTATCAGGAAATGTTTAATTGAGTAAGCTGTAAAGAAACACGTATGCAGAGAGCAGATCCACTGCCGTATTGAGTTGATTGCAACCATTTATGGTTCATATTCATTTAGGTTTCAACCATGTTCAAACAATCACAAGTCAAATTTGGTGTCTTTAGACAATATGTGCCCAAGAATAGGACGGCCACTGAGAAGTGTTCAGATGTGGGTCACATTCAGAGTCTCAGCAGTAAATCAGTGTGACACATGTAGGAAAAGATGAGTTTAGCTTGGCACAAATGTTTAAAAAATGATGGTTAGATTTAGATTTACGTTGCAGGATATTTCTACATTGACATCAACTACATATCAAATAAACGGAGGAGCTTGAAGAATATTTAGAAATGTTTATAAAGATGTTTTCTTTATAAATAGTACATTATATTGTACAAATTTAGATTTAATCAACCTGCTATCACATGACATCAGTGCGTGCACAGGCGATGTAGAGGTATTTCCCATCAATCCTTGCCGAGACAGGAGCAGGAGGGAAAATAAGGCAGGACTAACAAGGTAGCTGGTAGCAACTAACATATAACTAATGTACATCATGTGCCTGCACCTGCTTCACAGTAAAAACCATTGAGAGCTTCCCATAATTATTGCACCACAACTGCCATCCCAGATGGCTTACAGTCATCTTTCAAATGACAGCAATATTAAAACCTATATGACAGCACATTAAAACCTGTCACTATAAAAGGGTCTGCATTTAACCCCTCAGTGTCTAACCAAATGATAATTCAAGTCCCTTGAATGGGATAAGTGGTCTCAGACTTTTGGGCCCCACTGTACGTGGTGTCAAAATGGGAGTCGCACAATCTAAGGATATACAGTCAAATATTGACATGTGGAAACGCCAGATAGTATGAGGACAATATTTTCTGCCTGTATAGCAAATTTTATAATGTGCTAAGTTTACCTCCCTCTCTTTTATGAACTGAAAAATAAGAGTAAAATACAACCAGGGTGTTAAAAAAAACAAAACAACTTACGATGAAATCACTATATCTCCTTAAATCAGTTTAGTGTTTATCCACTCACTTCAAGTCAAGAGAGAAGCAGCAACTGCAAATGTCATTTTAATAAATGATGAAAATGGCTGTGAATTTCATCAATGTTTCAGTGCCGGTGAGTTTAAAGGAACTCCTCCCTGTTCTCTTCTGTCCCCTCTCTACTCAGATTCTACAAATCTGTGATAGACAAAGATTAATTTTAACCACCTGACACATGAACCCCCCCGATCTAGTCCTGCCAGCCGGCAGGCCACTCAGGCAGCCAGTCGGTCAGTCAGTCAGCCCTCTTTCTTTGTAAACGAGGTCTCCTGTTAATGTCAATCAATAATGCAGGGCTTAATGGATCAAAGCACCTCAAAGGAATTGACATTATCTCTGTTTAAAGTCAAAGGGAAAGAAAATTGATTCATTTTTTGTTCTTAGTCATTAGCTCAGTGGTCATTTTATGCCAATGGATGAATCGATCAAATGGCCAACCGGCAAGTTAATAGCATCCGCCCAGTGACAGCTCAGAGTTAGAGCAGGTTGTCAAAGCAATTGGTTGAATGTGTTCACCATGGGGCGTCGAGTGGCGCAGTGGGTCTAAGCAGGCGCCCCATATGTAGAGGCTACAGTCCTCGCTGCAGCCGCCCCTGGTTCGAATCCCGCATTGGACGGCCCTTTACTGCATGTCATTCCCCCTCTCTCTGCCTCCCCATTTCCTGTCTCTCTCTACTGTGCTATCAAATAAAGGCATAAAAAGCCCCAAAAAAATATACTTAAATGTGTTCACCATGACAGCAGTTTTCTAACAGGAGGTGAACAGGTGAAGATCACAGAGCTGACCTGCAAACAGCTCTGTGCAGGTCCACAGCTTTTAAGGCAGGCACATGTAATACGACCGATCAGGTACAGAACATCATTAGAAGTGATACTATACTCCTGTTGGTAAATGCCATACAGAACTCAATAATCTGTTTGATTGTCTGAGGACGTGTCGATATTCTCTTTTTGAAGTTGGAACATAATTGTTTTAGTAAATTGATCACAATTCTTAAAACTGACTTTGGATATCGGTTCAGTGGAGAACGGCCGGCACGAATTGTCAATTGTTAATTCTGTTTGGGATTTTCTGTTCTGTAGGCAAATGGCTTCTCAGAGTGGGCTGTTGGGAAGGGAATAAGTCTTGAGTAAAATTTCTGGTCGACTGTAGTTTAGTGGCTGTCAGCCTGTCCAGTCTGAGCCAATATTCCCACTTTCTCTCTGTAGCGAGAAGCAGAAAAGCATATGAAATTGAATTGGATGACAGAACAATTTCTCAGAGTTGGTCTAGGTACTTTTACCTTTTTCAACTGTTACTTTTACACGACTCTCCAGTTTATTAATTTATTTTTAAAAATAATATTAATGAAAAGAAAACTTGCTGTGCAAATGTCATTTTACAATGCACTGACCAGTAGCTCCTCCACTCCCTTCCTTCGTCCTCAGACTTGTAAGTCTGTTCAGAAATGGATGTTTTCCATCTGTAAAATGGACAGAGTATGATTTCAATTAAATAAAAAACCAACTAGAGACTAATGTGCGATGGGATCACACATTAACACGTTAATATTCCGATCCGACTGATTACTGAGTAGTTATTACAACATTATTACATGAGTAGTTAGTTCTCATTGGTCGCACCACACCCATCCTCGATCGCAGCCTTCATTTTAACCTCAGATACACACCTGTAAAGTTTAATTACTGTATCTTGCACAGTTGCAACGCTATTGTGGAAACAAAAGAGACATATAAACACCTGCCAAAGTCTTCAAAACCTCCGCTGTGTTTGTTCCTGCTACAGTATGTGTCTCAAGGACCACATTTTACCATGAAGACACACACGCACACACACACACGCACACACACACACGTGATGTAGCTCCTCTCCAGGCAGCACCTTTTCACAGTAATTTTTGTTTTTACTTGTTTTCAGGGGGACCCTTGTGATTTTCAGATCAGTTAGATTTCTTTTGTGTTTGTAAATACTAACCTAACACCTCTGATAGGCGTAAAAATGAAGAAAAAAAAAACACACCATGAGACAAAGACTCTTAATTTCAGGATACCGCTTTCATTTTTAGAACAATGTGCAGTCTGAATTAGAGACAATATTGTCATTTTGGCTCATGGTGTTGAGTCATACACACACACACACACACACACACACACACACACACACACACACACACACCGCTGTATTCTGTAAATGGAAAACCAGTCATTTATCAAGTCATGTTGTCATGTGATGCCAAATTCCATTTGCAGATTTTGTGGTTAAATTTAGCTTAGCTTATTGGCAAGAGAAGAGGAAGGGAGCCGGTGAAATCTCTGTAATTTCATCACCAGGCTCTCAGTTAAACAACATCTTAAGAAAATTGTTTAATCTTAAGTTAAATGTTCACTCCGCTCTGAGGTGAACACACTATATTACGTTGTTAAATCCTTTTCTAAGGATGTTGTAGAATGTGAAAAATTACCTTTGACTGTTCGTAGGATTATATTCACTCTGCATACTTTGTCCTTTTCATACACAATGCGTTACTCTAAGGGAACAACTTTGATAACCAGATACAAATTAACATACAAGAAGGTTTGGACTTTAACTGTTAAGTTGATAGCAGTGCCTACGAGGGTGAAAAAGGAGGCCTGCAACGAGAAGCTTTTTGACGGGGAAAATGTGGGCGGCAAAAACTGGATGACAAATGTTCTCAACTCATTCAGTAATCTTTAAGCCCCTGAGCAAGGCGCTTAACCCCCAACTCCTTTAGTACACGCTCAGAGGCCAGCAGTAGAGAACCATGCTGATTGTACTGTGCTGACTCAGGACCTCCACTGTGTGTCTGTAGATGACTGTAAAATTTTACATGGTACAGATTGCTTGGGATCAACTACTATTTTCATACATTTTAGAAAGCTACAAGAAGTTAGAGTTTTCATTTTGTAAATTTTTGAACACCAGCCTTGTTGTTTGTTGAATTCACAGACTCTCATCTCTCTCTCTCTCTCTCTCTCTCTCTCTCGTCATTCTATTGCCTATAAAGACAGCCCAAGGCTCCCTGTCCCTCAAGGCTTACAGGCTTACTCCAAAACTCATGGAGATCTGCAAAGAGAAAGATTTCACACCTGAGGGGTGAGTAGCTCATAGGGTAACACACAAACTTAAAGACACGGCGTATGGATCAGTGTCACGATCGCATACACACAAAAGTGCGGTTGTCACAAATCACAAGTCTTGTGTTTGTTTTTGGCATATGTATAAACACTGACACTGCTCACAGGAATACAGGATTTAAAATTTAAGATTTATCACTCTCTCACTCTCTTCATTCACTGGATGCAAAGGAGAGGCAGGAGTGGCATTTAGTAGCAGTTGGAGATGGATGCTGATGATGATGATTTATCAGCGTGTCCTTGCCCGTCAAACAAATGTACCATGTTTACGCTTTTCTGACCCCAAGCCTTATCGTAATTGCTTTTAAATTGCAGCTAAAAATGAATGTAATGAGGGGGCCGTTTTCCAGCCAGATCAGGGTAGTCCAAGTGCACAGACTCGCACATGCATAAACACACGCATGAAGACACATGCACACGCCCTGACAAATGCAAGCTTAACAGCTCAATGAAGAAGTCCCAGAGGCATCAAATTGCTGTCCATTCAGAAACTTCAGATATACATTTTTAAATCCACTAAAAGCAAGTGTATTTCCAGGGAGAAGGGACAATTTAACCGCATCATTACATTTCGCTTTCCTATTTCCTCTGTATTTCTCCACCTGTGTGTCTCTATTACCAGCCATTCTGTTATTGACCCAGTGTGTTTGGCCCAGAGTCAGGATCCTTCTCATTCTGCAGCTTTTCATTAGTTCCTATGATTTATTACAGCTCCAATCTGTGGATATCAGAGTTCCAAACAAGCCCATGATTGAAAGAGGGCAGCTCAGAGCAAGAAAGGACAATATCACCACATTACAACAATCTTGTTTCTATCTGCTTATTTTCAGAATAGCCTAGAAATCTGAATATCCATAATATTTCTTTTTTTTTTCCCAATGATACAAAACTTCAAAAGTATTTCAGTTTTTTTTCCCTCCACTGCAGTGTGCAGAAAAAGCAGTCTCTTTCATGTTGGTGTATTTGATGTTACATAAGCTTGCATATATTGTGCACCTTTTTGAAATGAAAGGCAGGAATGGATGTGTGCTGAATGGACCCATCTCTTTGAACTGCCCTCCAAGTCCACCGGACTATGGAGGCAGTGGTCAATAGCCTCCACTTGAGCACACAATCTAAAGCATCAAATTAGTCCGCCTGTGGAGTCAACCTTTGGCTTTGTCCAGCGGGGCCCAACTTGGAAAGAGCATGGCATTAAGTGCGCCAAAGTCCAGTAGGGTTGAGCAATTTGTCCTGCCTAGAGTGTGCTGTCCTTCTATTTCCTCATAGACGCCTTTTTATATCACTCTGCAGGCATCTGAAAAGGTCATAATGTGCAGGAAATATTTTAAAGCACTCCTGATGGATAATTGTGCCAATATGTATAACAAACAGTATTCATATCCTTATAGATTTTCCTTATAGACTGCTGTTATCCATACTGATTTTTATCCTCCACACTGACAGCCTGAGGCGGGATTGTCCACTTCCGCTGCCTCCAAGTCTCCTCTCTTAAAGTTTGCCTGAGGAGGCGCTCTACTTGGAATACAAAACAACATTCATCAAAATGACCTTATCAGAATCAAATGATGTTCCACAACCCTATTTATCACACAGACAAGCATGGTATAAACATCTCTGTTTCTGGTACAGTGCACATGGTGGATTAATGCAGCGAGCGTATTGATCCCATAACAAGCACGACGCATCTAACAAGCCAACATTAGACATATGCAGACAGTAGTTTGTAGCTCATGCACTGTGCACAAGTGACAGGCTGAACCAAGGCAGGCAGTCAATGCCATTGGATTTATGTGAGACATTAAGCAAAGTTTGAAGTTCCTTTTGTGTTAACAAGCCCATGTCAGAGAAAGAGAGAGATGCAGCTTTAAGATCCTGGGGAGCAAGAAGAGGTGGTTAAAAATCACCCTGCTTTGCACAGTCATCAGCAGAGCCCGTAAAAAAGTCTTTAAGGCTGCTGTGTCTAACGTGGCTCGGGATAGGCAACATGCATAACATTATTTGCTGTTATATGGCTGAGGTAGGGGTTTGACGGTCTGGCAAAAGATCCTATGACTGATCTTTTTGGGTAGAATCGCAATCCACGATCTGAATCAAGCCCTGCATTCAGATTCCTATCTGGCTTTATTGTGAAAGTCCTGACTGGAAGTTGTGATTTGTATCTTTCTGCTGCTTTTTTCTTTTTTGGATTTTGTCTGCTTGACGCTGTTCTCCACCCAAAATGCTGTCTTCTGTTTACAAATTGTGTCAAAACCAATCTCAATTTTTGCTTTGTTCATATGGGGTATTCATTTTGATGGTTTATTTATGAGGTACTATATCTAAGTGTTTAGATTTGAAATTTCACTCGCTGCTGACCAGCTAACCCTGGCTTGTCCCGCCTCGGATTGTCAATCCACTGTCTCGGACTGCAGCTAGTGACGGTGGTTCTCTCGGGTGAAGAACTGGTACATGTGAAGCTACACCAAACTCTCAGAGGCTGCAGAGCAGAACAAGGACTGCGGTCTCCAGCTGCTGTTAGTGGGCGAGCTGTTTAACAGTTGACAGTGGGCTGGTGAGCAGCGACTGAACTTTTGAAATGGAATATCTAAATCTAGCAGCTTTTAATGATGCGATCTGAACGATTCATCTGAAGAGTAGATCATATGCCAAAGTAAGATTGCTCGTGATATAAGATCGTCAGATCGCCCACCACTAGGCTGAGGTTCAGTTTACTGAGTAGTACAAGGAAAGTGGTAACAATACAATACTCCATGTGCAACTTGTTTTGTAATAATAAACATACGCCTACAAACAGTAAAACATGGAAATATGTCAGAGGCAGACCTGAGAGGATCTCTGCCAAAAAACAGATGTAGAGGCAGAACAACTGTTAACCCCACCCACTCTCTGTTCACTTAAGTAATATGTTTAAAATGGCCACGGATCAGCTGAGTGCTGGGTTTTTCTTGGAACAAGTTTTGTTTATAACTAATATCCACCACTGATTCACACTCGCTCTTATGTGTTGTGTCTTTGTGCATCAACAAGCAAGCTGTCCCCTTAAAACCACTCAACGTCTCTGACAGAAAATGAAAGATAATGTTCCCTCGGGTTTTAGTAAACTATAGCTATTTGTTCACACAACAGAAAGAACAGTGCTGTCACTTAGGCATGGAAAATATGATTATAATTCATACCAGGATATTAAGGGTAATTTTACAGTAGCTCAGAATGTGTGTCATTGAAATCTTTTCCAGTATTATTGGAAATGGCACAAACATTACAGTCTACAATAAACATGTCTACATCTCCACCGTGAAGGTAAATTGTGTCTTAACCTTTCTTCTCCCACCTCTGTCTCTCCTGTCTTGTCTCTCTCTCTCCAGCTTGAAGAAGGCAAACATCGGCTTCGAGCATATGTTCGAGGAGGTGCCCATTATCATTAAGAATTCCCACCTCATCAACGTACTGATGTGGGAGCTGGAGGACAAGTCCACCGTCGCAGACAAGCACGAATTGCTCAACCTCTCAAGCAGGTCAGCAGCCATTTACCAAGAGGGCCTAAGACCAGAAACCTTGGTTGTAAAAACGTTAAGAGTGAAAGCTGGATTAACTATGTCACACAGGGTTTCCTCAAGGGGTCGACATTTACAAGACGCCGCTGCATCTTGTGGGAAATTGTGTATGTTTATCGACATCTGTTCTCTGTTAAAAAAAAAAAAAAAAACCCAACCTTCAGTCCAGCAGTAAATTTTCTAATCTAACACTGACATTGCAGGGGACTCATAGGTGATGTCATTTGCTGTTGATACTCAGGAGGGATTTAGTTCTCACTCAATTTTGTGCATATAGCTAGATACTTTTACTCCTAGATTAGAATCAATAAAATCAATCTTTTTGTTTATTTTTAAGTTATCAAATCAAGTTATAATGCTCCCGTGAAGAACATGCAAATTAATGATGTCATATTGCTCTTGAAAAGACCTTTTGTTAGATCATAATTGTAGGAAGCTTTTCAATCTTGTGACTTATGAATGTGAAATTGGACTCTTGTTTCATGTTGTCATTACATTACAGCATCTTGTTTTTTTTAACGCTGCCCGCTTCATGCTGTTTTGTAAGCACATGAGCAAGATCCAACATGAAAAGAATAATGACACAATAAGGTTTATCAACAGACCTCAGTGACTATCATCAGCCTCTGTAAAATTATTCTACAATCAAATCCAGGAAATACAGGTTATTAGCAAAGTGTCACATTAATTTAATTCATTTGCACTTGGTTGCATTAGTACTGTGAATACATATTTACTGTATCTACTGAAGAATGCGGTCACTTCTTAACAGTGTCTTTCTTTAAAGGTATCTTTTAAAACCTGCAGGCTGCTTTCACAGACAAGAGTTAAAGCTACTTCTAAATTAAAATTGATTTGACATTAGGGGACTCCTGGACATTAATCTGTGTCTTCTGTGCTGGTCCATACTGTACCAGGTGAGAGGATGGACTACGCGGCGTTTTGTCTTATATTTACCCACCGTACATGGTGCTAGTGCTGTTTTCAAATAATTCTTAGAAAGGCTGGTTTAATTTAGTTTTTTTATTGTCCATCACAGAAATCCCACAAAATGACCAAATACAAAAATAAATGTATCTTATTGACAAGAGTTGTTTTTTGTAGCCAGAGTTCATGCTTGTGCGGCATTGTCCTCCTAAATCTATTAAATACAAATAAAAGAGCTGTATTATTACATTGATTAACACATTCCTTCATTACAATGAACACAGCCCAGTGTAGATATTCTGAAAAAACACCATAAACATAAATTGAATTCTCAGCTGACAGCACTCATGAAGAAAGAGTCAGATTTGGTGGACCATCACAAGCTGGAGTATTCATAGGGGAAAATACAACACCAAGCTGAATAGCATGAACGACACTGTCCCTGTTTATTGTGATAAAGAAATATGTCACCTAGTGCAGCTCTATGGCTCTTTTGTGTTTTTAATAGTTTTCAGAGGCTATTGGAGTTATATGGTGCATAGGCATAAGCTGTATGAAACTCCACAGGCAACACTTGTTAACAGGATAAATTCTCTGTTGGTTTTGGTCTTTTCATGGGATTTGTTGAGAATAATAAAAAGATTCAAAACGTCAGCCTAAGTCTTTAAACCAGTGGTCAGCAACCCGTGGCCCGCGGGCAAAAACTGGCCTGTCAACAATAATGTCTGGCCCGTCAGATTATTTTGATAATCTGATTTTGTTTTGTTTTTTTATCTTACACTACTGAATTTACAGTCCCACATTTGCTTATAATCTACCCCACATGAACTACGCTTATCATACTTATAGCCATGATGAGAGTGAATGACAGACACAAACAGTCACGCATTAGGCCCGCTGAACTGTAGTCAGTGCACAGCGGCTGGTGCTAAAATTACCTACAGATTCCCTCCCTCTTTAAATGTTTGCGTACAAAATAAAAGCTCAAAGTTTTTTTTGGTTTTTTTGGTTTTTTTTGCAGCAATGCTTTATTTCAAAGAATTATGAGCTTTTATTCTGAAAAGTTCTGACATGAGGTTCCAAAGATTCTGTTGTTTGCTTTACAGACCTTTGAAATAGCAAACAAAAGTAAATCAGTAAATCACTCAAATGTATAATATGTGACTGTGGGCCATAGCGCCACATGTGATCAGTTACAAAGCAAATTTCAGTTGCACTTTTATCAATCAATTTCTTAAATTAGCCTTTGATTAGGTTCTGGCTCGCCATCTAATGGATTAGAAAAAAACTGGCCCCAGGCCAAACTTACTTGCCGACCCCTGCTTTAAACCCTATTTTAACCACCTTGGACTGCTGTATCAAAACACTTAAATTGTAGCGCACAAAGAACTCACAGTCCACTACTTTTCTACCTTTCTGGGTTAGTTTCGGGTGTTTAGGTGATTAGGATATACAGTCTAAATTGAGGTACAGTAAATGCCACATCTAAATGTCAAAGCATATTTATTCAGAAATGTCTCCAAAAGCAGACTTTGCAGCCAAACTTTGTCTTCCATCACTAATGAGCACAATATGAACAAATATCACCCCACCATATCAACTCACAGCCGGGCTCTTTAAGTCTTGCATTTAGATCTCAGAGGCTCTCAGCATCAGTCTCAGGAGAATTTATCAGCAATCATTTATGGAGATAAACCGCTGCAAGTGGAGCAACAGCTGTGAAGCTGCTAATCAAAAAGCTTCCCAGGGGCAGGTGTGAGAAATTAACACAATAACTACTCAGAGTGCTGATTTGCACTCTGTTAGCGTGCAAAATACACTGTGCTTAGTTATACACTGCAGTGTAGAACATCAGGAGTTGTGATTCTCATCATCTGTGTCCTGTGACACAAGTAACCGATCAATTGAATTAATTCTTCTATGTATAGGATGTGCAGCCAACCAAGCTTCAAACCAGCACAGCCATTTGTTACAAATTGTCAAATACACTGAAGGAGAATACCTCGTTTTTCTTGCATATTGCTCCATTTTCCAAATGACTACTCAGAGGGTGAAACATAGCTTTTGATATGACCTGAAATGGGGCAGAAGCAGCCCTGCCCTCCCCATAGGTTTCCCGACGTGAATGCTGATGGGATGTCTGGCTAGATGAAATTGTTTCCTGAAGTTGTCAGATTGCGTCGCTGCTCTGTCCTTGTATTGGATTGTAACGTCCATCTCTCTACATCTTCTGCTGACAGCCCCACCCTTTTCTCCTCATTTCCACCCCTTCAAAAAAAGTAAACGATAATGGGTTTTATTTAATGTTTTTCCTTTTGTCTCATTTTCCAATCTGCAGCCCCATTTGTCAATGTCATCTATGTCTAAGGCTGAGTGAATGCAGTTTCACTCCAGCAAACAGGGTTGTTCTTACCACAGATGATGATGTTGATCGTGGTGATGGATTGCATGAATGTAAATTCATTTATGTAGCTTTTCCCCAAACAGTCTTGAAATGCCTCTGTTTGCACTGATACGAAGTAGTCTATATTCATGTTAGGCCAGAAAGCTTTTCCTGTGTGGGCCGTCTTACATGGTCTTCATCCATCTTAAACTGTCCCCACTGTGGAGTAAATCATCCTTTAAACCTCATATTTACTTTTTCTTCTGCAGCGTGAATGGGCTACTTGGTCTGATTCATGTAATTGGCTTTCTGTACTGTAATATAGGACAATATAAGGATATGTAAACATAGCTTTCTGCTCTATAGGAATATCCTGGTGTCAGACTTTTGGACCACACTGTATATTCAATATAGGAGAAGTGGATGGAGAGAGGACAAGAAGTGTAAGACTTTATTTGAGCTGCAGCTATAGACAGAATGAGACAAGTGATGAAAGTGAGGAGAAATAACTGGAAATAGGATCACAAAGGAGGTGGTGACAGTAATGTTGCTGTGAATGAAATACTCTTTGGAAAAATGAACCTCGACTGTCAAACTTGATCCAGTGAGATGGACTTTGAGGAAAAGTGTTTTGATCACCAGCCAATAATAGTTCTTTTTATGATAATGTTTTTTTTTTTAAATTTCTTCTCCTTAATGGAATAATGCTAACTGCTGTAGGCTACTCACTCGCACCAAGATTAGCTGGAAGCTGTCTGAGTCTGCATGAAAATATAGTATAATATATAACATGTTTTATGCATACTTTTTTAATTTATATTTTTGCCACTGTTACACTACACACATATGTGGGACAATATTAGATTTGGGCTGTTTCATGTCCTCCTTAAAACATATTACTCTGCTACAAAGGCAAGTCAGCAATCCATATTTTTGCCCCAGTCCAACAGTGAAAAAGGCTCCATCAGAGTAAAACACTCATTGTAAGAATGGAATCCACTTCCTTGGCAGCTTTGTTAAACAACTCCCCTCTGAACTTTCAATTTACTGAATGTCAGCCCATTTTTGCTTGCACATCAATACAGCTTTAGCGTTTGTCCTCCATTGTCCTGTGTGAATCAGAATCAGATTTATTGACCAAGTGTCTTAGCTCACACAAGGAATTTGGTTATGAGTATGTAGGCCTGAGCACACATACATTATGAGCTGCCATTGAACCTGACTTAGAATCTGTGATGATAGGAAATCCCTCAACAGGCTTTGATTTCTAATTCAGGATTGAGGGGGAGGCTCGCAGATCCGAGTTTATGGCCAGACGCTGTGTAGTGTAGAATCCATTATTCAGCGTGCATTTTTTTATCCATGTGTAACTGGTAACATCACATTTTTTTGAGTTTGGAAACGCATGAACTTTTAGTGTGTGTTCCTTATGTAAGACATTGAGTTAAGATTTTCTTCATTTTCATTTTACCACTTAATCAAAGTTGTGTTCTCAATTCAATTTTGGTCGATCAAAGTAATAAACAGTGTCTAGATCAAGTATATTCCTAGAACCCTTCATTACCAAGCATGTATTGAGAATTTAACACACAGCAGCCATCCAGATTTAACAAATTCACAATCCACCACAAGAGAAATGATGAAATACAAACTGATGACAGAATGAAATAATGTTCAGTGCACTGAAACACACACACAAACTTGTTTCACTATCCCCGTGGGGTTTACTAATTTACATAATGCATTCCTTAGCCCCTTACCCTAACCTTAACCATAACAACTAAATGCCTAACCCAATCATTACCATAACATTCAGTGAGCTATTTGTAAGTTTTGCTAGTGCTACATAGTTAGCATTAGCATTAACAGCTGTTTACTTCCCAGTCTTGAAGAAAGATTGCGAGTTCAGCATCACACGTCATTCCTTTACTCGCCAAGAGCTGTCTCCAGGGGTGAAAAGCAACGCCAATGTTAACTCTTGTCTCTATCATGTCTTTTGTTCTACTGAAGTTAGCATGCTAACCAGCTAGCCCCAGCCCCTCAAGCCTCCAGTCTGCCCTGAAGACGTAGCACTGCTCAGAGAGCGTATTATAACTACTTGTATTACTTAAGATAACAATTGCTGAAGCTCTTGTCAAGCGACAATCACCACCACGCACTCACACAGAACTTACATATAACCCCTTCAACCAACCCAACTAAATTCGTAACCCCAACCCTTAACCTTTTCCTAACCAAAGCCTAACTCCACCCCAACTCTAAAACTAACTCTTAGCCCTCAAAAAGGACTCTCTCACTGTGGGGACCTCAATTGCTGTCCCTACTGTGACATGAGTTCCCTTGGGTCAGTGTGTATTCAGATTGAAGTCTAACCAGGATAAGAAAAAAAACAAGCCCTTCACATACACACACACACACACACACACACACACACACACAAAACACACACACACACTTCTGTTCAGTCTAGCTCAAACACTTGACACATGCATAAACGACAGATGTTTTCTAGGATCCTGCTCTGACTAAATGATTTCCTTTGCATACATTATAACTGCACACCACACAAATTAGCTACCATCTAGCTTGATGAAATAGTTTTAAATGGGCTTTCGTCAGCAAGAATCAATTTTGACACAGTCAGGGGGACACAGTGGGGAAGTGTTATGGCGAGATTTGGTCCTGGTCCATCAGTTTTCATGTTTACAGCTCTGACACTGCAGTGCAGGGTTGGCAAACTGATCACACAAACAGTCCTCGGAGGCAAACATGATGTTACTGGAAGTGACTCAGGCAGTCTAACCTATGGAAATAATTGTTGCGGCTACTGAACATAATAAACCATTCACTAGATTTTTATTTTTTATTTTCAAAAAATGTCTTTGTGTTCTCGACAGTTAAATAAATAGTGAATGTAATCGAAATCCCATTTGCAGTATTTGTACACAGGCACTCTGGTAGATGATTTCATCGTTTACAATTACACACACGTAATGCAGCTGCCCGGTAGTGATATGGATAGGAGTTTTTATCAGGTTGTAGAGCATGTGAGAATAGTGTTATAAATCAACAACAGTTCATCAGCAGTGTTAATACAGTTATCTGCATGCATGTGGTTCCATTAATTTTCTGTGTAAGCATGTTCGCATTTAATTGTAATGAAGCTGTTACCAGGCGATCCTTGGTTGATGAGATACGGATACTGAGCTTAGATGATCAAGATGAGTGTGTGCATATATTTTACACATGTATGGTTACTTAATTTTATGCACATGACTGTGAATGTAGTCCCTTTAGTTTCTATTCTGAGTGTTTCGGCCACCGACTTTCTTCTTCTTGGCATTTTACTAATACTCTGATAAATACTAAAAATGAAAACACAGTAGAACACTTTTATATTCTGACTTTTTTTTCCCAAATAAATAATTGCAGAAAGTGCAAGAGTAAGTTACTTATGTTGCAGTTTGTGAATAATTCAATTCCATAACGATTCCCTTTCTAATTTAGTTTCTCACCTTTTGTAGCATCAAAAATACAAAATACAAAGCTGTATTGTAATGAATTTTAAAACGTAATGTTCAAACTTTACTTTTTAATATTTTGCAGCCCTTAAGGTCCTTGCAAAATCTTACAACCATAGTTTCAAGTGGCTCAGGAGGACATTTCCTTGAGTTGTCCTTGGTGATGAAGCCTGTAGGCCCACAGTGACAAATTGAAGAAGTTCTCTAACTAAAGCTACATTTGATATGTTGGCAAAGTAGCCTTGACTACCCCATGTGAGGAATTAGATAATAAAGAAATAGGCACAAATTGTGACAAAGTTTTCATTGGAGCTTGGTTTCACAGGGGTGCCAAATCCTCTCTATCAATATACTGAAGAAAGGTATCCCCAATCAATATTTATAGAGATAACAGCTTCGGAGATTGTTGGTCGGATTTCTATTATTAATTTCAAGACTTGTAGAGTCTAAACTGGGGGTGGATAAATTATTTCTTGACAAGATGATTTTTTAGCTTCCAACAGAAGATGGAGAGCGGGAGGAGATAAGGGAGAGAGAGAGAGGAATATTGATTTATAAAACTGTTAATTGAAAAATCTCCCAGCAGAGAAAAAAAGTAACTAAAATCACGCAAAACTCTTTCCACTCTGCCTCCACATTTGCACAGAAACAATGTAACACGCACATACACACAAAACAGTTAAATCGGCACAATTGCACACAGCAGCCAAAGCACACACAGTGCCGGCAGTCCTTGCGGGTACAATTGTCATTTAAATAAACAGTCAGAATCTGTTTTCCCACAGTACATGCTGCATTATGTAGCACCCAGCCATTCATAAATGAAACAATATAATTCCACAGAGAAAAGTACAAGAAGGGGAAGACTTGAAGTGGAGCACTGCAGCCTCGCCAAGGTCGAACTTAAGGCAGTTGTGAGACATCCTGTTAAAAACAGGGCTCATGGGAGGAGAGAGAAAAGGGAATGATGGTAGAGTTGTGTATTGAGTGTTGTCAGCATTGTCAGCACAGCAGTGTTGGGAAAAAGATGAGGGATATGAGCAGAGCAGAGATGTAGCACAGGGACAAGAGGAAGGGTCCTCAGGTCGGAGTACTGTCAAACCCCAGAACAGAGGTTTGATGTAAGATGTCTCTCGGGATACATAAGAGCAACATATCTGGTGTGAGGTGAACTCAGAGATTAGGTCAGGATAGATGGCAGGCATTGAGCGTTTTAAAAAAATGTCAATGTAGCATTTTTAGACTGCAACCAGGAGAGAAAGCTTTGAATGTCTGATGTTCCTGTAGTTTAGTGGCAGAGGAAGGAGGATCTGTCTAAGAGAACATTTTTGAGATTATCTAGGAATCGAAGAGTGAAAAGTCACTAAAAAACGTCACTGACATCAAGTAGTACTTGATGTCAGTGACGTTTGTGTGATCTGTATAAACGTATCTGATCGCAGGCTTTTCTATGTGCGCCTGACATTATTAAGCTTTCTTGTTATCTCGCTTCTCTACATTGTGATCATAGCATGTAAATTGGCTAAGCAGAGGTGGCATGTTCCAGGTGAAGTGATGCTGCTCTTTCTAAGCTTTCCCTTACATTGGAAGGGGTTGTCTGTGGCTTTTTTGCCGGGCAGTAGTAACGGTAAGGGTGAATAAAATGAATGACATCCTGACATTTTTCTTCCAGCAACCACTTGGAGAAAAGCCTTCAGCTTCTGATGGACAGAGTGGATGACATGAGCCAAGACATTGTCAAATACAACACCTACAGCCGCAACCTGAGTAAGCAGCAGCAGCAGAAGCACCAGGTAACTCTCACAGTCACACACTCACACACAAGCTTTAATGAACCAAAGTGCACACACCACCTAGAGACACAACGAGCAAGCAGCAGAAACAACAGCTTACCAGCACGTATATGAGGAAAATAGGTGCAAACACACACAAACAAGGGCATTCACACAAATCAAATCAAATGAAGTTTATTTAGATAGCAAGTTTAAAACCAAAAGTGCTGCACAAATTTTAGTTTAAGTAAACATTAGAGCCAGTGGGAATGCACCTAGGGATGGGTACCCGGAGTATCAATAAGCTCCAACGTTATCGGTTCTGCTTTCGGTACGTAAAAAAATTAGGAAAATGTATTTCCCCTTTATTATTGCAACATAAAGGTTATCTCGCAAAATTTATCTCAACTCTGTTTCAGATTAAGACGTTCATCTATGAATGATGCATTTTTGCTTTTCCCAATCCAGAGGAGAGACCTCCCTCTCTCTCTCGCTCTCTTTCTCTCTCCCTCCCCCTCTCCCTCAGACCCTGTGTGTGTGAGGGGCAGGGGCAGCTCTGTGTCCCTAGAGCACCGCGCAGCACACATACAGACACACAGACCCTGCTCTTAGTGTGTGGCACACACACACACACACACATATATATATATATATATATATATATATACATATATAAATAAAAGTAGTAGTGCCATTAAAATCTTAATGATACTCATGCCTACATGCACCTGTGGAATTTTTTTAAAATGGCTGCGATACCCCACCACAACCAATAAGCCTAGGTGAGCTAAAAAAAAAAAAGTCATTCTTGGGGGACATAATTCTAAGAGCTGGCTATATTCACCAGACTCCAAGTTTCAGTGAAGAACAAAAAATGTAGGAAGGTGGAGGAGATAAACTTATTTAGAGAGACCTCACTCAGAGGGCCAGTTAACACAGACACTGGCGATGGTGCAGTGGTGCGTTTTATGTACAGAAAACTCTTTACTCTTAAAAGTGCAATGTAAAAGGGAAACCCTGTCTGTGACAACAGCTTGAATAGGGAGATGGACTGGTCACAGTAGGATGACAGTAGGAGGGGGCTAGCGCTGGAAGTCAAAGCCAAATGGAGAGGACTGTTATATGTTGGCGACTAGCATTCGTCTGCCTGGTTCGTTTTGGTGAATTCTGTCTCTCTTAAAGAGCAGATTAAAATTGTCAGTAAAACCCACATCGTGAGTCCTGCACGCAGACTGGACACAGTTATTAAGGGTTCTGCTGAAGTGACCGGCACCGCGGCCCAGTGTGGGAATGGGACCTGAGATAAAAACAGATTTGCTACATTGTTTTAGAAAAGTTAATAAGGTTCTTAAAAACAATTTTGGCCAGCTCTGACTGGTGATGGACTGTTCCCTCAGGAACAATCACTCTTTTGATGGATGTCAAGAGAGAAGGAAATGGGTCCTGGCACTTTTCCAGGATGACGGAGGCCGTGGCACCACAGTCAGTGTATGGCTTTGTGATGAGGAAACGTTCACTCCTGATTATGAAATCGCCGGCTATCAGTGTAGTACTGGAGAAGAGCAGGGATAGAGACGTGTTAGAGTTTTACAGGAAAAAACAGTCCATGTTCACTGACCACAGACTGAAGCGACGATCTGCTCGCTCTGGGCGACTGAGACCTCCAGACTGCCCTTCAGCATCCTGCGACAGGAGGAGGAGGAGAACCTCCATCATTTCTCAGCTGTCCCGTGATGGACCGACCAGCTGCCCGATTCATGCCAGTGACAGGTGGAGAGAAGATAGTGGGACCTGGCATAGCCAGAGTCCAGGTCAGATGGTAGCAGAACCACAGAGGCATCTGCCATGGGGTAAGTCAGAACCACCGGATGGGTGGATCGGAGTGTCGTCAAACAGGGTCACATAGCGGTTGGAGAGGCTTAGGCAAAATGGTGAGACAGCCCCATCTGAGTATCTTTTGTGACCACGGACCACCACTTCAGCTCAGGATGACTGAGGGTTAGGTGTAGAGCAGGAGGAAAGCCGTGGACAAGTGTAGGGGTCCCACAGGGCTGTGTACTGGATGGCTGCACTGAGAGAGGCAATATATCTGGACTGTGCAGCTGCCATGTCCATAATGCCAGATAGAAGAGTCTTTCTTCTGCAGTTCACCAGACGGCCGTGGAATATCCTCCTCAAGGTCAGCAATCTTTCTGTGAACTTCCTGGAGTAGCACACAGTCCTCACAGAGCAAGAGTTGGCAAGGTTGTAAAAACCCTCAGTAAAAGCGACCGGCTGGTATAGCCACCAGGCTAAAAAGTTACAGCGTGTGAGACATGCTGAGTCACTCAGGTACGATACCAATCAGCCAGAAAAGCACGTGTTCCAATCCCAAAGGAAAAATATTTTCACCCCCATGTTTTCAGATACACCTACAGCCACAGACTCAGCTGGAAAGCAGCAGGTATATTTCTCTCAGACATGGACACAACCAATTGCAGCTATAATCACAGCAGGCAAGCAACAAAAGCACCAGGTAGCACAAACACACAGACACACACCGAAATATGGTCTACCAGCCTCACACATTAATGTACATACACCCACTGAGAACACAGAGCACTAACTACAGTAAACAGGAAAGGTTGAGGATATAAACATTAACTATGATCTATATACGTAACATATATACTGTATATTATGATGGTGATTTGAATGGCAAGGGTATTTGGGAATTGGACATGGGACTCAAATTGGGTGTGCTCTAAATTATATTCAGTCTTATCAGGTCTTGTAGGGTTCAGTTGTATTGCTGTGCATCAAATCTCTCTGAAGATTTTCACTTGGTTAGTTCATATACCATGAAAAAAACCAAAACATGCAGACTATAAGACCAGAAAACACACAGTACCACAAACACTGCTTTGTCTGATGAGGCTGCATTAACGTTAAAATGTAAATTAGTGGGAAGCAAATGATTCACCACCACTAATATGACTACTAGGAACTTCAAGCAAAGACACAGACAGAGGTTTTAAAGTAATTTCTGTTGTTTTGACCGGACACTAATGAGATTAGAATGACGAATGTTAATCTTCAAATATCAGTCATAGTTTTATCATCCCTCACCTCACTGCAGCTGCTGAAACGCGCCCACTGCAGATCAGCATCACTTGAATTTCAGACACGCTTCTCCTCCATCTGCTGCACTATTTTTCATTTCACAGAATTGTTCATTTTCAGCACTACAAGGGCTACTTCAGCGATAAGACATTAATTTATCCTTGTGTCAAGAAAATTTGGTTCAGAAGGTTAAATACCATGAGTCATGCTCAGACAATCTTCAAATACCGTTGGAGCCAGGGGGCAGTTGATAGATACGGACACAAAGCTGGTATTAATGAATGAAGTCTTTCTTTTATTTTAATGAATAAGTGAAAACCTCTGTTTTTATTCTTTTGTGTACCAGTGAGGTACATCACAAACGCAAACTTCATTTAAAAGCAGAAGCACTTTGTAAAACACACGTACTCTGTGTGTATGTGTATGTGTAAAGACTCAAAGACACACACACCTCCTACAAGCACAAACTGAGCCAGAAGCACCAAAAACACCAGAATAAAAGGTACACACACTGACTCAGTCACTCTCTCTCTCTCACACACACACACACACACACACACACACACACACACACACACACACACACACACACACACACACACACAGATGAAGACTTAGCCACGTACCATCTGCAACTACAACTCACCAGATGCATCATAAACATCCGGCAACACATGCAAACGCAAGCAGTCAACATTCACACACACACACACACACACACACACACACACACACACACACACACACACACACAATAGTCAGGAAAAATGGAAGCAAAGAGGCACAAGGTGTGCAGTGTTGTGCAGTGTGCGTGCGCATGAACTCACACCTACGTTCAAACAACTACATTACTCTGTCTCTGTTCTCTGTGGAAATGACGAAATGTCTGAAGTATTAATGTTGATCCGAGCTGAGTCATCATCATCTTGGACGACAGCAGATAAAGCCGAGGCCGAGTTCACACACATTAAGCAGACTTACAACAAACATGCATCTGTGACCACAGGTAGTCGTCTGTATGCACACAAGGCATTCACAACTTGGACTGCGAAGAAACACACACCTACATAACCACACATCCTCAGGCCAATCACCCACACTGCAGCCATTATGATCCATCATCCTCCACTGCCGACCTTCTCATCATCACAACCCCCAAGCTGCACCGCTGACACACACACACACACACACACACACACACACACACACACACACACACACACACACACACACACACACACACACACACACACACACACACACAGGCATTCATGTCATACGCAATATCACACAGACAAGCCTCTTTAATGGTACCTACTTTTTTCATGTTTCACGCGGTTCTCTACAATGAACAAACAATGCACACAGAGGAGAAGAAAGTGAAGCTCTATTACACCTTTCAGACATCTACAGTACTCGCTGTGTGTAATCTTGTGCTATTGACCCTGCTGCTTCCTGGACAAATGGAACCTTATTAATCATCATAGAAAGTTGCAAAAAGGCAGTGTGCTGAGAGGGCTCCATTTTTCATTTATACCTCTCTGAATTTGGTAAACAGCAGGTTCCCAGGAACAATCTGTGGCCAAGTTAGTCTTTTTACCAGGAAATTTATGTCTCACTACTCCAGATTTATTCATTCTCTATTGTCCTTCCCAACCACAGAAGCAGGCAAGACTTTGCAAAAGATTAGGTATGGAGGGGTGTATTAATCTTATGAACCATTGAATCATGATTTATAGTTAATAATACAATTCAGCTACAATTACATGATTTAGCACCAAGTCATTATTTCTGAACCATATAATTATTTTTTATGACAGATTAAACAGAAAATAAACACATGACAGGGAAGCCAAATCATGGCTGAAAGTGTATTTGATTGTGGAAAGTGCTGAATAGATACATAGCCACTATGAAATTTATGGTTGTTGAACCCCACAAGCTCGCCCAGCATATGTGTGTGCCAAAAAGGCAGCAGGGAAACTGAAACAAAGAGTATGAAGGTTTAACTGTCTGACACAGAGGTCTTCATTTTGGACCAGATCCCAAACAGGCCCATTGAAAACCTTCCCGAACCACATGTGCATATCTTTGACCTAATCCAAAGAGAAGCCAAGGATAATTAGACCACATCAGTAGATCCCAGCAGACCACTGTAATGAGACCAACACAATCAGCTACATGATACAAGCAGTTAGGGAAAAAGAAAAAAACTGTATAATAATAATAATGACCTGAGAACAAATATAATAATATTTGTTTATATCCTTAAAAGACTAATTTATAAAAAAAAATAGCTGAAGTCCCATTTTCACCTCTTGGACCAACAATAACCCAATTTTCTAATATGTGTGAATTGAATTCCAAAATGTAATTAGCATGCATTTGTCTAGCATACATTTTCTACACAGGATACTGATTTACTAATATATGTTCTCCCATGTGGTCAGAAGTGATACTGAGCATGCACACTTGTAGCAGTAAAATGAGACCCTACCCAACCCAGTTTGACTGAGTCCAATACAATTTGGATCCAGTCTGACTTTGGTCCCAGCTCGGTTCTGAGTTCCTCAGAACAGTGGTTTTCCTGTAAATACCTCTGCTCTTGATACCAAAATGGGAGCTTTTAGCCATCATACTAAAGCCAAACGCCACACAGTGCCAGGAACACACCATCCCCAGCAAGATGCTCGGTGGTTCCAGCATCATGCTGTGGAGATGCTTCTCTGCGGCAGGCCCTGGAAGGCCTGTGAAGCTAGAGAGTAAAATAAATACAGCAAAATACAGAGGAGTCCTGCTGCACCCTGTAAGAGAACTGCGATGTGAGACAGGATTATTTTCCACCAAGACAACAACCTCAGACATAAAGCCAGAGCTACACAGGAGACCAGACCTCAATCCAGTTCAGACTTTGTGGCAGGACTTGGAAACTGCTGCTCCCTCACAGTCCCTATGCAACTTGACAGTCTGAGGAGTTTGTAAAAGAATAACTGAGAAAAATAGCAGCAAAAGGTGCCTCTATTAAATACTGACTTAAAGGAGGATGTTTTATAATTGTACTTAATTTAGATCAATTATGTTTTTTTTTTTACTTACTCTACTTTTTTTACTTTGACATTTACTTCCAAAGGGGGGTGGATACAATAGGCAGTGTATGTCTATATTTATATATAAAAGGTGCACAAGGGTAAAACTGTTGTCGCTTGTTTCTACAATTTGCATACAGTCCTACATTAGCATTTTGATTTTTCACAGTGATGCTGTGATGCACTGGCAGGAAAAAAAAAAACTCAGGATGGAGGAGTAACGAATAATTTGAACAAATAGTTGTATTTTTCATTTATTGTTTATCTATTTTTATCAGCTTTGTGGTGCATTGTGGGATGTTTGGTTTGAAAGCACTGAAGTTGATCCTGTGCCATTTTTCCTCCTCATCTGCCGCAACCTCCCCTTCCACTGGTCTGTGTCAGTGTCTCCTCCATCTTGCCAAATTAACAAGGCTTTTAGGATCTCCAGAGACCCAGCACCTCACTGATTTACTGACTGTCAGGCCTCCACAAATCACTCAATCCCTGTCAGCACTTATAGCTCTTCTTTTTCTCTCCATCTCCCCCATCTCTTCTTTCATCACCACGTTTCTCTACATCTCAATTCATTCTTATTAGTTTCTCCCCATAGTTTCTATTGCCTGTCTTTCTCCTTCCTCTTCTCTTTCTTTCATACTACTGGGTGCAGCTCTGCTCTCTGCATCTCTCTGACTATATTTCTCTCCTTCCTGTTACTTTGCCTTTTCCTGTTCCTGACTTTCTTACCTCATACCTTTTCTATCACTTTCTTTACTCCCACTCCTCACCTTCCTGTCATCATTCTTTCACCCTTTCTTTTCACTTCAAATTCTTATCTGTTCTTTTTTCACCTCCATCACCCCCATGCCTTCTTCAAATCCTTCTGTCCATTTTGTCTTTTACTGGCTATTTCCTTTCCACATTCCCCTCTCTCTCTCCCTCTCTCTCTCTCTCTCTCTCTCTCTCTCTCTCTCTCTCTCTCTATTTATATTTGTTCCCCCCCCCCTCTACTGTGGCCTCCCCCACTAATGCCACCACTTTGTCCCTTTGTGTCCCTCCCTCCAGTACCTCCAGAGGCGGCAGCAGGAGAACGCCCAGCGACAGAGCAGAGGGGAGCCCCCGCTGCCTGAGGAGGACATCAACAAAATGTTCAAGCCCCCCCAGCCTCCACCACGCATGGACACACTGCTTATTGCAGGTACGCACACACATACACACACACGCACAACCTTTATGCACACAAAGCAGAGCGGCCACCCCCCCCCCAAACTCCATCAGCTGCCTCTGCTTCCCTCACAGGAGCCCAGGTTCAGTTTTGTAATTATCTATGCCATTATCTTGAAATTACATTAATTTAAAGTTTATTGACTCAATCTCTAACTTGACCGCCCCTTTCCCTGCTGTTTCACGCTGCTCAGCTCTCCTCCACCTTTAGACAACATTCTGATCTTTCCGTTTACTCAGTTCCCTCCACTAATTTGATGTTTCGCTGTGCTGCCCCCCCCCCCCCCCCCTTTGTTCTCCCTTCCCTCTCTCACCTCCACCTAATTGTGTGTATGTCTGCGTACAAATGCACACATGTATGTATGTATGTATGTATGAATGTATGTATGTATGTATGTATGTATGTATCCTGTGGGCATGTTTTTGTGTGGGGCTGCATTGATTCATGTGGCTTCTCTCCAACAGGGCAAATTAACAACTACTGCCAGAATGTGAAGGAGTTCACCTCGCAGAACCTCGGGAAGCTGTTCATGGCCGAGGCTCTCCAAGGCCACAACTAGAGGAGAGGTGACAGGGTGAAGAATCTGTGAGAGCGGGAAAGAGAGTACACAGGGGGGTAACAAACGAGAGATGCAAAACCACTGGGCCAGTTTGTTTTCTAAGAATTTATTCCTTGTTTCTATGCCTGACCCATTCTTGGATACAAAATTGTCTTTGAAGATCTCTTGATTTTGATTGAAATAAAAGTCTTGCATCTCTACATCTTCTCCGGGCTCCTTGTATGTTTTCACAGTTGAACTAAATACTGCTTGTGATGTAACTGAGGAATAATGTACTCTAGGCTCGGGCATTGTTTTGCTGTACAAAAAATGGTTAGCTTTGTTCAGAATATTAATATGCTAAAAATGGATCTTGTGCATAATACAAAATAATTATACACTAGAATGGTGCTTATACATAATTTTATTGCTACATGCTTTTCGTCTTACAGTTCAAACGCCAAGCAGGTGAAACCAATTATTAGTGGATTTGCTGAAGTGTCGGTTCACATGGTGGGAACAGTGATTTCCTTGTAAACAGAATTGCGATCAGTGAAAGTTGAGCGTTAAATTGCCAGCTACATACTCGGCCCCCACTGTCTCACTGCGCTCAGAAGGATTTTGATTGTCTTTTTCTTTCGTGAGGAGAAATTACATGATACATCAGAATATGCCTTTCTTCCACACAGGTAGCAATTAGAACCTGTTTATTTTGGGGATGCAAAAAATAAAGTCCCAGTAGTGAGATTTGGCATGAAACAAAGAATTGTTGAGTTTTCAAGACAACATTTGAAGAAGGAACCGCAGGTGTGCCTGATAACAGACAGAGAAAAACTGTCATCTGCGCTGGGTTGCGTTCCTTCTTTAGTGTTTTCTGTAATTGCCACAACCCATAAATCATTTCACACAATTTTAGAGAAATTACCAACAGGGGAACCAATTAAGTATTTTTGAAGTTTATTCCTAAAAAATGAAGAAGATAGATTATGAGAAATAAATCAAAGCTGTGTAGCTGATGATAATGAACGTGAGCCACAGCGCAGTACAAAAATTACAGGGAACATTTTACACCATGAATCTTCAGCTCTTAAAAGTCGGACAAAGGGAAGATTGTGGAGCATGGTCAGGAACAACAGGAATCAAATTCTCTTAGCATGCTACGTTTGCTCATGAGGACTTAACACGAAGTAGTGAATGTTATTTCAGTCCAGCAAACAATGGAATTATTTGTGCTTTCCAAATCAATACTGGTCTGATTTTTACATGTATTAATATATGTATATAATGCTGTATTGTATTATTAACACAGTAACACCACTTAAAAGTACTGTGTGATGCAACCTTTCAGCCAAAACATACAACTAAGGATGACAACCCTGGAGTGGCTGTGGGACAAGCCTCTGATTGTCCTTGAGCGTTCCGACCAAAGCCCAGACTGAGACCTGAAGATGACAGTTCACAGATGCTGCCCATCCAATCTGATGGAGTCTGAGAGGACCTGCCAGGAAGAATGGGATAAACTGCCCAAATCCAGGGTTGCAAACTTTGTAGAGACTTACCTGAGAAAACTAGAGGGTTTTCTTTTTTAATAAATTTGCATTTACCTAAAAAGACGCTTTCACTTTGTCATTATGGGTTATGTGTGAGTGAAGATTGATGGGCAAAATGGCAATTTTTCCATTTAAAATTAAATCTACAACACTAACTAATGCAGAGAGTGAAGGGCTCTGAACGCTTCTGAAGCCAGTGTAATAACATACATTTAATTATTTCTTAAATTGGAAAAGCTTGCAGAGGAGTTATAAGTGCTTTACAGCCGTGAGCAGTGTCTGGAAGTCTCGTTCTCAGGCTACAAAAAAGAAAAAAAAATTTGAAGAGTCCTCCAGTCGCAAGTAGAAATTATGCCCGCACACAGCAGCCCTGTAAATAAATAGAAGTGAAGTGAAATTAAAATGAAAATGAACTAGTAAAAATGTCATGAAACAATAACATCATAATTAATTTTGGTCACCCTGCACCCTTCAGGCAAGACATGAAAGTGTCAACTTCAGCAAACTCTAACTTGCCCTCATCCAAAACAATACTTGTTAGCATCCAGCGTGTGGATGCATCAGGAAACAGCCCTGTGAAGTGTCTCTGAACAAACACTGCATCTGCAACAGCTCGTTCACCCTAAACCCCTTCTGCAGAGCCGCATCTCATGTAACTGTAAGCTGTGTCGGCGTTGATCCTCCGCAGAGTATCGCATATCTTAGATTTACCCCCTCAAGCCATACAAGCACAGCTCATTTGTGGAGCTTGTCACCGGTGTCCACCCCACCCACCAACAGGAAGCTGAATGATGGCTCTTCTTGCTCCATTTAATAAAGAAGCTGCCAGTGTGCGGTTCATTGTATAATAATTACACTGCGGCTCTATCTTGCTGTGTGCGCCGCTGCTCTCCCTCGACCTGTGGTTAAACAGCATCTTCTAATTCAGCGGATGATGTTATTTGACTTGTCATCAACATTGCCAAGTCGAGTAATAACTTGTAGTGCTCCTGCCTGTCATCAGCACAATGTCATTAACAATAATTACAAGTCAACCAACATGATAAACGTTTATTGGAACGGTGACACTCTAGCCGGAAATGATTTCTTCCCCAAATCATAACATGGCACCCTGACATGCTGGCAGGACGGGAAATATTAATTCACCACAGAAGGCTAGGTTTATATTCATTAATTAAAGTATCTCCTGCTTTGACAGGCACACCTGTGCTCGTGATTGATGTGTCCCATGATGTGAGGCATTTTCTCCTTGAAGGCACTGATGGCCTTTTGAGCAGCGGCTTCTATTTAAGGTGAATCTGTGTTGTTTGTAATGCAGAAACGGCACTGTAGGGTGACATTGCCCTTGAGGGCTGACTGGGGTACAGCCTCCCCTGCCCCCTAATCCTGACGTTGTGTGAAGAATTACAAAACTTAAAATTCCACAAACAGTAGCGCAAGCGTTGTGCGAAGCTGCCGAGGCACCGCTCGCCCCTGCAGAGTGCAAACACAGTGACAGAGGTTCAGCTTGTATATAAAGTGACAATGTTTTGATTGGAGTGGAAAACAGTTTGGCTTGACTCATGGCAGGGCTCAAGGGCAATAGAGTGGAGGTGCAGGGGGAGTCAAGCTGGTGATTTGCCTCCACATTACTCCACTATCATATAAATCATGACATTACTGTTTACTGTCACTGATACAAACTCACAAAGATAAAGATGACGAATTGTTTGCCATTTATGAGTTTAACCAGGGAAGCACAGGGTTGTCGAAGCCAAATTTTATGGTCTGCTTCATGGTTTATTTATTGGTAACGCTCAACTTTTCAATATATTAATAATACATGGTTTTAAACGCACTATGACAGCACTCACAGCAGATACCAGGACATTTTATAGCTTCTATGAAGCCTTTGTAATTGACAGTTACTGACATGAACAAATCTATGCAACATCAAACAATGCATACATGTGCAGATCATTCACATGCTGGTTTAAAGCTTTTTTAACAATGTGTTCAACACTCATGAATGTTGAGCTCAGTCCTTGGAAATATTTTGACAAAATATTCTTCACTCAAGGTCCATTCACCAGAGGTTTCCTTGCAAGTGAAGATATATTTCATTATGAGTCTAAGCACTTGATTAATACATTAAAAACAGCATATAATTATAATTTATTAAAACAGTGTTATAGTGTTTATATATTGGACCACAACAGGCTTCCAAACCAGTCGTGATGTCACCAAATCACACTTGCACGTACTGAGACGTTTAGGTGAACAAAGGGAAATGTCCCCACTTCATCAGGTGAATGTGAAAACAGGATTTCTATTGTCAGACCACAGTGATGCACAGACATCATTCTGCACAGTGAAGCTCAAACAACCAGGTGAAGAAGCAATGAACAAAACACATTTTTTTGGGGAGATGGCTTTAAAATATAATTATATTTAATAATTATTCATATTCTGTTATAATTTGGGGTTAAAGGAACGTTTTGCTTATTAAATTTGAAAGTGACTGTTATTCATTGCCATTCAACAGTAAAAGTGAGTTATTCCTCGGAGCACATTCATCGTGTCATCTTGAGTGCATGCTATAGAAGTGCAACGGAGAGATTCAGCTGAAACACACTCATGTCCATCTATATGTCCAGACACTTCACCTTTTGTTCCCACTCGAAGTTTTGATGTGGATTTCAAAGTGCGGAGCGCCTTTGCTTCATTGTGCTACTTGTTTTGATATGTTAAACTGTTCGAAAGAAAGAAACCCACAGCAGCAGCTGCATTTGCGATTTTCTCTCCCACACTATGCTGCTCAATTGACCGTGAGGCCACTGTGAGTCAGTGAAAATGAGAATGACATCCTCAAACACGAGACAAATTTTTTCACCCACGAACAATGCAGAAGCCGAGCCTGTGGCCTGCTGAGGCAATACTTAAACTTTCCACCTCTTCCTCTAAAGTGATTTCATTTGATCTCACAATCATTTTTTTTCATAACTTTCTGTGATGTCACTTTTCATTTGCAAAAATTACCCTAAACTACGTGTTTGAACTCAGCATGGGAACTGAATGAGAGCTTTAGCTGTGTAAACAGCCAGGCGTTTTGTACGCTGCAATAGGAGGAAATACTTAATTAGGATTATGGGATTTGTCTCTACACCTTCAGATTCTTGAGCAGGAGGCTGGGAGATGTCAGAGGGATATAAGTTTGGTCTCATTTAATCAGTGAGTACGGCCTGCACAGCCCTGACCCCAGCAGTAATTTATTACTGTTCAAACACAAACACAAGCCCTTTCACTGTGCCAGCCGTCACCCTGTCACTGGTGATAGAGAGAATCAGCTGGCTGAATATAATGAAACCAGTTATTTCCCTGTCAACTCTGAATACTTTTTTCCTTTTTTTTTCTCTCTCTCTCTCTCTCTCTCTCTCTCTCTCTCTCGCTCTTTTTTTTTCTGCCACAAATATTGCCATGGCAACTGTGGATCCTGGATGGAGTAGCTGTTGAGGATGTAAAGTAGTTCCCGTGGAAAAATAATCTTGCAAATCCCCAAAACAAGAGCAGAAAGGAAGGCAGATGCAGTTGTAGGAAGAGGTGTGGGTATGGTTGGGGAATTTAGCATTTATGGGATTATACACACACAAGTCCGACACCACCATCGTAGGAATACATTTCTTCACATAACAAAGCTCT